ATATAATATATATATATATATATATACACACACACACACACACATATACATATATATATATATAAATAAAAAATAAAATTAGTTGAAATATTAGGTTACAGTTATGAAACCTGTCCAGTAATTTAGTAATGAATGCAAAGTGAGGACGAAAAATATATAATAAAATTATCATTGAGTCATGTGACCTAATCTTTTGCTTCTAGGTAATGTCATGCATAGTTACTTCTTAGGTGTTAAAAATAACTAACAAACTTAAACGTACAGCAAACTTAAAATTTAAATATTTTCCCAACGAATTCCCTTTTCCCAATATAAAATTAGCATAAATTGGCAGAAGTAATAATTACATTGTAAATAAAGCAAGTCATACAAAATAATTGTTTCGTTCATTAAAGAGTTCCAAATATGTTTAACTTTTTAATGTTTTTAAATGTAAACATGGCTGCCACTTAACAGTTTACTCTTTATTATCTAAAAAGTTAAAGAATTTAAGTTTAAGAATAAGTTACTTACTAATACTTTATTAACTTTAAGTTTAAATAAATAAGAGTTAGAATAAGGAGACTCAAAAAAGTTAGACCTAAGTTAAAAAGTAAGTAGTTTGTTTGGAATTAGAAAGTGTCTAGAGTAAGTAGTTTGTTTAGAATTAAAGTTAAAGAATTAGAAAGTCTAAGAAAGTGTCTAGACTACTGGTAGTAGTCTGTGACTGTGATATTTTACTACCAAAGGCAAAAGCTAGGGAGCTAGTTGTAGTAAACTACCAATTAAAATTACCAATAGCTCATAGAGTTAGAGAGCTATTACTATTACTATTTGCATTGGTAGTCTTAATTTATTAATACTTAAGTAGATACTTTGGTCAAAAATGTAAACATTTTTTAAAAATAAACCAATGGCACAGTTGAATAGAGCTAATTTTAAACAGAATTATAACACCAAAATCATATTTTTAGCTGTTGTAGTTTTAAAGTTATGAATTTTTAAAGTACGACTTGGTTTGTCATTTTTTAACATGGACTTCATCTCCACATTCTGTGACCTCATTCCACTGATCGCGTCATGCGCAATGACTATATAGTTTATATAAGGCAACGCATTCCCTATCACTAAAATACTGTTTAGGGTCGACTTATTTTAAACTTTCAACTTTGGCACATGAATAATTAATAAAAGCTTTCCCTGACCAATGGTTTAATAGCTTTTGCACACGGCAAACTCTTATGAATGAAACTCTGAGATAGTACTACGACGTAGCCGTTATGCAAGTGGCTGTGAATGGTTGCCAATGACAACGTGTTGCACAGGGAAAATTCTGATCATTTATATTATGGACTCTGCAGGGTTTTTAAAGCTCAAATTAAAACATTTCCAGTTTAAATGTCTTCAAAATGCATTCTGAAACACAAAATATAAAATATTTTGATGTATATAGTGGTAATAATTAAATATTTTCTAAGTATCGGCAACTTCCGCCATTAAAAAGGGGGCGTGGCCCAAGCCATGTCGAAATTAGGCTGAGCCACCTTATGGTGATATGGGTCACTGTGACAAGTGTAACAAACGTGGGACACGACCTACATCAATGAAACTTGGCACAGATATAGATCAATATCTAATGCTCATACAGATTTAATCAAAAAGGACCTTATCTTATTATTTCACAAAAAATTTTGTATGCGAAGATGCCTTATATATACCAAAGATTTTCAAAATAAAGGTTGATTGAAAAAAGCAAAATAGCTGGCTAGAACTGAGGCCAAGATGTCTTCCAAATTATAAGGCCGGAAACGGAACTCAAATATATGTGGAAAGAACTAATTTAATAATAAATAGACACACACATCGGAAAATTAAAAACTCAAATTTTTCGGCGCCGACAGCCATTTCCGATACAAAAAAAAAAGTAGTCTCCCTTGTTTCATCGAAGTATCTAACTTAAGTCTTAAGTTAAAGATATAATTGAAAAAAAAACATCTCATTTCAGCCCATGGGACTCGGGACTGAAATACCTATACTATGTCTATGTAAAACTTATCGGTATTATGAATACGATTAAAATTAAATAGTGCAATTTCATTATTAAAATTAAATACTGCAATTTCATTATCGGTACTACTACTTTTAGTACAGAAGCTTACTGAAGATTAATTATAACAGTAACAGTTAAGACTTAGACTACTAACTAAATATATAAAATTATTAAAATCTAGCTGAAATAAGTCTGCAGTACTATATATTTCTTGAGAGGATAAATACAGTGTTTATAAAATATAAATCTATACTTATAAGTCTATATTATCTATACTTATACTATAAGTAAGATAAGATTATTTTATTGATCCAAACAAATGGAAATGTTTTTTGATGGCATTGTAATCATTGTACATTTTCAGCACATAAATAAAACAATTTGAACACCAGACATCTACATTAAATTATTTCACTAGTGAAAAAAAAACGGCCATTCAGAGAATTCTGTTAGCCATATCAGGGACTTAGTTCTAATTAAGATTTGTAACTTCTTGGGGAACACCCTGGTAAATTCCTACAGATTGGGGAACAAAAGAATTTTTATATCTTTCAGACCTCGCCTTGAGAGAAAGAATTTGTCCCGAATGGGCCGATCCTAAGTATCTGTGATGAAGAGGGTGGGATATATCATCCAAAACTTGTTTAGTTTTACAATAACATCTTTCTTCAAATAGTTCAAGTGAATGTTTATTTTGTGTTATGTTCCTAGCTTTCTTGATTACTATAAAATTAAAAATCTTTCTAAAAATTGACACATTGCATGGGAACTTAATTAATAATTAATTTAATTGATAATTATAATATTAAATGTGTATGATCCATCTGTCATTATACCGGTACTACTTTTATGTAGAGTGTATTATTATATTTTAGCAAACTGGTAGACCTATGTTTAATAATTAATAGTAAGATTTAAATGGCTTTGTTACCTAATACAATTATAAAATTTAAGTGTCTCCATTTCATTTCTTTCAGTTGATACCAATATTTTAATGATGTTCAACGAGTAATATATATAAAATGGATAAAGATTTAGTCTCGAAGTCAGTGTTCACAGAAGTTGGTGTAGATGACTTCATTGTAAGACTAGAAAAAGCAGCAGCCATATTCTTGGAACTGCTACAAGAAAGTCAGTATTTCCATACACCCCTCTCTTCAATCTCTCTTGTCTGCAAAGTTATCAAATTTATTCATGCAGACAATAATCTCAAGGAGTTTTGGCTAAAACAGGAATATTTTGGAATAAATCCTACACAAGATGATAAACAGAGCAAAACAGGATCAGAACTGTCAACAAATACTGCTTCAGAGAAAAGCGCCACTGAAAATTATACAAATAATAATAATTTACCACAAAACATAGGTGCGTTTGTCCGAACAACAAGAAGTAGTAAGTCAAGAAATATAAATGCTTCAATTAGTGAAAACAGTTCACATTCATTTGACTCTAATTATAAAAATGATGGTCCTAAAACTCCAAATGTTTATAATCAGTGTGTTGCTCAGGTGGAAGAAAACACATCTAATCAAGTCATAGATTTCCAGTGCACATACTGTAATAAGAGATTCATAGATCGCAGGAACCTCAAATCTCATTTATGGCTCCATGAGAGAGAGAAAAGCTTTAAGTGTGACCAGTGCAATAAAATGTTCCTACGCCCTCATCAGTTGACACGTCACAAACGAGTCCATACAGGAGAGAAGCCGTATCCATGTGCAATTTGTGGGAAACATTTTACAGATGTGTCTAATCTAAACAGACACAAGCGACGGGAACATCCGAACGATGCCAGTTATCTCAGGTGTGAGGAGTGTGGTAAGGTGAGACGTACTTGAAGTTTATATCATAAGGGCAAGTTAATACCACATCTTGTAGTGTCTTTTATTGCTTTGGCAGTAAAGACAACTTTCCTGGAATACATTTTTGAGTAATAGGTGATTTTTAGCATATGATGATACATTAACAGGTTTCTTTCTCAATACTTTTAATGGTCAGTAACCACTGATTAAGTTAATTGTTATGTCTTCATCATTTGCCAAAACATTTAAATTTGTATTTGTTACCAAAATTGAAGCTTGAAATATATTTTTTTCTTTACACAAATTGTTTGTATCTATCTCATTAATCTAATTAAAAGCTTTATCACAGTCCAAGACTTTTATGATGAAGTTAAGTGGTTTAATAGAGATGTATTTAAACTTCTTTGAATGTTTATCAAAATATATTTAAAAAATGGAAATCACCAAATGAAAAACATTTTAACTCAAAAGTTTTAATCAATTACATAAACAAATTTGATTAATTATCGACTTAATAATTTTGTCTCTTTATTTTAATACACCCTCTAGGAATCAGAATCGAAATCTGACCTGCAGCTTCATCTCAAAGAACACAGAAAAGAAGTCACAGCATTTAATGAGGAAAATGACAGTTCCTTGATTAATGAGAGAATGGGACAGGAAAGAACTGCGAAGAACATGCAGAATTTTGGTAGAAAAAGTCCAACAAAAAAGCAAAGAGACAAAGAGGCATACTTGTGCCAGATTTGTGGAAAAGTATGAGTCAAACAATTACTGTACAGGAATTCATTACCTTTACTGACTGATCAAAACCCTCAAATTATTTTTTCATTCACTTAAATCAAACACTTAATCCTGAAACCAATTTCACTATATAAATACACATTTAAAATGCTTCAGAACTGAAGAAAATAAGAACATTAATAAAACTTCAATGTTTTCAAGGCTGATTTGTAGAAATTGCAATGGTATATATTTATGTTTCTTACAATACGGCTTGAGTATAATTTGCCTGCTTCTCTTTTTTCAGGCTTTAAATAAGCGTGCTGCCCTTTTGGCCCATATGAAACGACACATCAGTAAGAAAGACTTTCGATGTGAGTTTTGTAACAAGGTATACACAGAGCTACAAGAGTTGAAGGTTCACCGCCAGGAGCACACAGGCGAACGACCTTTCAAGTGCAACCAGTGTGGCAAAGGATTTAAATCCAGAGGGACGCTGCGATCTCACCTGGCAGTTCATTCTGGTAAAAAATAAATGTGTCCAAAAAGTATAACCTATCTTCCTTTACGGGCCAAGTTGAGCAGAGGAGTCTCGGCGTTATATGGCACAGAAAGTTTGTGCGAGTTGTTCGCGTTAATAGATGATCAGTTTTCATTATGATGTACCATGCCACAGGGGCATGTGCTGTCAAGGATCTCTCTACATTTTGTACCAGGCCACAGGGGCATGTGCTGTCATGGGTCCCTCTACATTTTGCTCTATCTGTCATTGCCCTCTAAATTCATCATTGACATTCTCATCCCCTCTGGTCCTTGTATTTTAATCTCTCCACTATTTTTTATAGTGGCACAATAGAACAGTGGATTGCAAATTTGCTGTGTTCCTGAATGGGGCAGGAAATTTACTTTCATATTACAAAACATAAAGTTTTATACCAAAATGAGCAGATACTTTCAAAGAAAATCTTGTTGTAGAGCCCTCATGTGAAATATATACAGACAGTTGCTTGCTGAGTTAAAAATGTCATGTTTCATTGTTTGTTGATGTAGAGCTGTCAATAGGATACACATAGTTGTTCGTTGATGTTTCACTTTCATAGGATACACATAGTTGTTCGCTGATGTATCACTTTCATAAGATACACATAGTTGTTTGTTGATGTAGAGCTCTCAAATATATAGTTGTTTGTTGATAAAAAGCTCTAATGGGGAAATATAAAGATCATTGTTAAATTTGATTGCAGGTGAACAGCCCTACAGTTGTGATGTGTGCGGGAAATGTTTCTCTCAAACTTCAGGTCTGAACCTTCATAAACTGAAGCACACAGCAGAGGAGGAGAGGACACATGGTTCACTTGACACAAGCCAATACAACTGTGATATATGTGGGCGGGTAGGTTGCTGTACAACCATCAACACTAAAGCCATTGGAAAAAATAAAATAATTGTCATTTGAAATTTATAAAATCATCTCCTTCATACTGTATTCTGAAATATATGGACCTTGCAATGAGTATTTTTCATTCCCTATATTCCGGGCAGGATTTTAAAAAGTCAGTCTCATTGTTAACTTATACAGGTAATAAGATGCCAGATTGTCATTTCTTGTTAGTGCAACTTACAATATTCTTGGATCATTTATCAGTATAGTTATAAGTCAGATGAAAATTTTACTGGACTGGAAAGTTTTAAAGAATTTTGTTAATTGCAGTGCTACAAGACAAAGTTCCGTCTGCAGCTCCACATTAAATCCCATGACAGCTCACGTGATGTGTCCTGTGATTTTTGTGACAAGAAGTTCCAGTCCGCCCAGGATCTTGGCATTCACCGCCGCTCTCATACCAAGGACAAGTACTCCTGCAGGGTTTGCGGAGCCAGCTTCAAGTCTAGAAGTGTCTACTACTTCCATACCAGGACCCACAAAAGTAAAGTGTGAAAAAAAATATCAGACTTTTTCAGTTCTGACATGAAAAAAAATCTCTGCACCTGTGGTTCCAACACCCCATCTTGACCAATACAATATTCTTGGGTTACTCCATATTTCATAAGGCTGTATACAATATTCTTGGGTTGCTCCATATTTCATAAGGCTGTATACAATATTCTTGGGTTACTCCATATTTCATAAGGCTGTACAATATTCTTGGGTTACTCCATATTTCATAAGGCTGTATACAATATTTTTGGGTTACTCCATATTTCATAAGGCTGTATACAATATTCTTGGGTTACTCCATATTTCATAAGGCTGTATACAATATTCTTGGGTTACTCCATATTTCATAAGGCTGTATACAATATTCTTGGGTTACTCCATATTTCATAAAGCTGTATACAATATTCTTGGGTTACTCCATATTTCATAAGGCTGTACACAATATTCTTGGGTTACTCCATATTTCATAAGGCTGTTTTAAGCCTATCCTTTAAATTAAAATTGTCATTTGTTAAAGACAAGAAAAAATGTCAAGGATACTAATTACTGTTAAAATTGCCTGTTTTTTTTTGTTTTTTTTTTGAGAACAAGAACTCTTTGTTTACCTCTACACTAAATGATTCTATTTTCTTATGACTTCTGTCAGTTGAAAGACCTCACATGTGTACCTCTTGTGGGAAGTGTTTTGTCAGTGCCACTGACCTGAACACACACAAGCGCAGACACAAGGCCAATCACGATGACAAGTATCAAAGTGACCACAGCTTTATTTGTAAACTCTGCGGTAGAGTAAGTGACAACTATATTTTGTAAACTCTGCGGTAGAGTAAGTGACAACTATATTTTGTAAACTCTGAAGGACAATCTCAGTCTAACCAGTAACACATTTTTGTCCTGGAATCTAATTCTTTATAATATTTAAGTGTGACAGAATCTAAATGTGGTCAATTACCCATTAAACCCATTTTGAGCAATTTTAAGAGATGAAATCATGAATATCCAACTTAATTTTTCTGAGACCCATTCAAAATGTGATACCAACTAGGACTTGCATGCTCCTACTGTAGGTCTATGGGCTGTAAATAGCATTAAAGATACAACATAGGCAGAATCTCACATTGCTAAACTTTATGCAAATGACCTAATCAGAATCAAGCATTAAGTTTTCTTGGCAACACAAAAATCAGAATATAAGTTTTCACTTTCAATTAATCTGCTTCATTTAATTAGTGTAAAATTAACTTAAAAACACAACCAATAAAGTTCAGCTGTCATTCAAAAATCATCCTATAAACCCAATTGCTCCAAGATAACGGTAATAATTGAACTTAAATTATTATTATCATTTTTTTTTTATTTTTTTTTTTTTTACAGATTTACAAGATGAAAAACAGTTTGATCATCCACATGAAAATACACCAAGGCATCTTCGACCACCCGTGTGATTTCTGTGAGAAGAAGTTCAAGTCCCACGCAGAGCTCAGGCACCACAGGCGCACACACACACTAGAGAAGCCATACATGTGTGAGACATGCAACCGAAGTTTCTCAAGACACAGCACATTGGTGAACCACAGGAGGACACATTCAGGTGCGTAAAATGGTTACCGGAATTTAATCAAAAGTTATTTCGTCGATTGTTAATCGATCAATGGAAATTTGATCAAATGAAAATTTGGTTGAATCTTTCTTTCAGTTCATGCGTTAAAATTTTTGCCAATTTTCTTTTTTAAAGCACTATACTATATAGTAAAACCAAAAAATGCGTTCAAAAAGAAATTTGAAGCGAAATTTTAACGTAAAAACTGAAGAAAAAAAAAGACTATCAAATTTCCGTTCGATCAATTTAATGCCGATGAAATTTCTTTCGATCAAATTTCCAGATACGGCGTCAAATGGAACGCGATAGATTTTTGGTCCAGCTGTCTTAGCCAAAAGTTTGACAATTATTAATCTTGATGGGTACAAATGATACTGGTAGTGAAAATTGATTTTTAAGGTTGTGGTTTTCCAGGTTTTCAGGTTAAGATTGTTCATATTGCCATGCTTAATATTTGAATATGTTGGGAAAAGATTCCTTTTAATGTAGTCTCAACATTTGGGTGTCATACCTGAGAAATATTGTTAAAAAATAAGAATGGCATCTAGTCATATGCAGTTCTGATTTATTCTTGTCCCAAACCCAAACAGGTGAACGGCCGTATCTGTGCATGTCATGCGGGGCAGCTTTCAAACTGTCTTGTACCCTCAAGAAACATGCTAAGATTCATGCGAGGGAGGCAGTGAGTGGAAAGGGGAGACCTGAACCTGGTTGGTATCTACCCAGAATTTTCACAGTGTTTGAATGAATTTATTTATAATCTCTTTCAACTTGTCAAACTGCCTGGTGGGAGATTCTCTCTGATTGACAATGGGCTTTAGTCAAATAACTTTATGACAATGGGCTTTAGTCAAATAAATTTAATAAGCAATCTGTAACAATAATCCATCAAAACTATTCCCAAGACATTCATGAAGAACTCCACATTGACACTTTAAACAAGAAAAGTTCCTCATTTCTTTCCATAATTCCAAAGATAAACCGTTTCACTGATTTAAATTTAATTTATTAATTTTAAATTTAACAATTATTCTTTTGCAACAAGAAATCTGTTACTGAAATTAAAATGGGAAAACAATTTCTAATCTCTCTTAGGAAGAACCAGGGGCCCACGAAAGACAACAGCGAAGACCGTTACTTTGGAAACTCTGACAACATTAGAGCAGCAGCCACAACATCAGCTGGCGGACGAAAAACCACAAGATCACCATCACCAAGAACAACGACTGATTTCTCTCCATCCTACCTACCAACACACGGCCATCGTTTTACCCCAGGTCCTTCCTAAACCACCACCCATCGTCCTGGAACTTCGGGAACCAACCCACTTCATTCAGGAACTCAAACCCATGGTTGCAAACATCGTGCACCAGGAAGACAATCCCAACTACATTCAGGATGGAACGGTGGGTCACATACTGGACACAAGGAACACTGGACAGCAGACTTTGCTGCCTCAGTCCATAAGAGTGCTGGCGCCAGAGGAAATGGAAGACAGGGAGCCCAGAGGCCACATGACTGATCTGAGAAATTCCATTTCCAACCCTGTTCAGATTAACTCTGGCAACAACACCTTCACTGCATATTATTACTACTAACTCTTGTTAATCATTAGTTAGAAATAGATAGAGCTGGCCGCCATTGTTTATGGTTCAAGGGGATGGCATTTATGTTTATGAATAGCATCTACATCAGTATCTATGGACTTAACTAATAACTACAGAGGACAAAATTGAACTTATAGAAAGAAATGCATTGCAACTTAAAACATGGTATGGCCGGATCAGTGATAGGGTGTGGTGGTAAGATGACATATAGGCCTGTTGGGGTGTGGTGGTGGATGCAAGTAGACCTATGGACTGTAATGTGGGGGTGTGGTGGTCAGATGACAGGTTGACGATGACAAGTAGACCTATGGACTGTAATGTGGGGGTGTGGTGGTCAGATGACAGGTTGACGATGACAAGTAGACCTATGGACTGTAAAGTGTGAATACAATTTATGCTATTAGAACTAATGGTAATCCACAAAATATTTATAAAAAATTTTTTTTTTTAAATTTCTTGCTTACGGATACCAAAATAATATACATATCTGACTTTGTGTAGAAAACTTACGGATGCTCCATCCATGAATGGTTACGAAGTACAGTAGCACACTCGGTTATGTCGATGGCCTCGGGGTTTGCCAAAGCAATATATTAACATGTGCTTGAAATTTCTTTATGTACATGATGTGCGTTAATAAATGCAGGTACTTCAGTAAAAAAAAAAAAATATAATAATTTTTTTAATATTACAGTTATTTAGAGCAAATTTCAAATTTTTACAGAATCAACTTTTTAACTTTAGTACTTTTTGAGCTACGAATTTTTAAAGTGCGAGTTTGTTTGTATTTCTACTATGAACGAAGCCTCCACATTTTGTGACCCCATTCTGCTGATCGTGTCTTGCGCAATGACTATATAGTTTATATAAGGCAATGCATCCTTATTACTAAATTACTATTTAGGGAATACTTATTTTGAACTTTCAACTTTGGCACATGACTATTTAATTAAAGCTTTTCCTTAAAGCTTTTCCTGACCAATGGTTTAATAGCTTTCGCACACGGCAAACTCTTATGAATGAAACTCTGACGTGGTACCATGACAATGTTTTGCACATAGCAAACTATGATCATTTATAATATGGACTCTCCTGGGTTTTTAAACTTCAAATTGAAACATATTTAAATGTTATGCATTTGCTATATTTATTTAAAGAATATTTGTTATTTGCACCTCAGAATTGTGATATTATTTTTTAAGTATGGATGATAAGACCATTGATGAAACTGGCTAAAATAAATAGTTGACCTTTGAATGATAACAAGGGATTGTAATGGATCAAGTTGTGATTCTAATATAAATAATTATTTGTTCTATATTTTACTGCTCAAAGATATATGTCAACATGTATTAAAGATATTGATGACATTATTTTGTTGTAATTGGATTCATTGAACGAGCTTGGGTTGATTTATCCTAAAGATTGCTAGGAAAGACTTATCCACCAGTCTACAGTTTTAAGTTCATAATAACTAAACTTATTGGACGGAAAATATCATAAAAGGGAAAAAGAGTTAAAAATGTTATAAAATAAAAGTTATAAAAAAAACGGAAATCCTGCGCAGGCTGTGGGGAAGCCAAGCCAGAAGTGAGACAAGTCAGTGTATACAATGTGGAGGTTCAGAATATGACTTTAAATATTGGTATTTTAAAACAATATTATTTAAAGTGTGTTAGGTTCAATGACCTCTTCCAGTAAGAAACTACCAATAACTACAGTGTCTACAGACACAGGGTTACTTTCACACAAGGAACATAGACTAGCAACAAAAATAGTAGTATATCTTGAAAATAAACAAACAGAAAAAAAAAAAAGTACCTTTAAATTATATCCACATTTTAACACCCCACCCCCCCTCCCCCCCTTTCCAGAAGCATAAGGTTATAAGACGGTTAACTCAATAACTTTGTCAAGATAGACCACATTTATTTTACTTTGTTAATTTAAATAAAGGAATCTCTATTACTATAGCTGCCATAATTAACAGATGTCTTATCTCTAATTACAACTTAATTGCTATCAACTTAATCATATCGGTCCATTTTTTATAAAATTTTTACCGAAGTGCGATTTTTCCATTTATTTCTTGTGTGGCTATCAAGGTTAAAGCCTGTCAACATGTGGCTATTAAGGTTAAAACCTGTCCACATGTGGCTATTAAGGTTAAAACCTGTCCACATGTGGCTATCAAGGTTAAAACCTGTCCACATGTGGCTATTAAGGTATCTCGATAGTTAAACCAGCCTCAAGTCATAACTAAACCAAATAGGGTCAGAACATTGGGATGGAGGTGGTGAGCTTGGTCAGAACATTGGGATGGAGTCGGTGAGCTTGGTCAGAACATTGGGATGGACGGTGGTGAGCTTGGTCAGAACATTGGGATGGAGTCGGTGAGCTTGGTCAGAACATTGGGATGGACGGTGGTGAGCTTGGTCAGAACATTGGGATGGACGGTGGTGAGCTTGGTCAGAACATTGGGATGGACGGTGGTGAGCTTGCTACAAATTGTGGCAATATTAAAATGAAACAGAACTTTTCAGAAGACAGAAAAATTCACCACAAAACTGGATGACTTACCTGGTTGGCCAAGATCCAAATTACGCTTACGAAGTCTATACGGTGTACTTGATTCCATACGTTTGTGTTCTCTCAAGGCAGCTACTCTCAGTGGTTTGAGTGGAGGCTGAGACTCTGAGCAGTTAAAAATTTTATGACATCTTCACAATCATTGAAGTATTAAAACACAAAATAATTTTGTGCACTAAAAAAGCTCCAAAAATCATTTGAATCTCACAACAGAAAGACTTTGATCACATGATCATACACTTTTAAATAAGACATGTATCCTCCAGGAATAAATCCGATAACAGTGTAGTCAATCTATTTTTATATTTGTATGTTCAACTTTAAATACTTTTGTTAAATTTTGAAAACTTTAATCTTTAATACTAATAAGCAGGTTTACACTTTTGCTTTAAATAAAATATTAATATGTTTAATTTAATATTTAATAACTTATGTTTTTAATATTCTTTTTTTTTCTTGCACTCATTTAAATAATTTAATGTTATAAGAAATCAATATTTATTGTAAATAGTTTTACTTTTAAAAAAACTTAATGGTGTTACCTTCTTGCTGAATCTTTTTAGCCGATTTCTTAAGTCGTGGTGGTGTGTTGAAATCTTGTTTTGTATTCCGGCCTTTGCTTTCTGGTGTATCATGTGACAGTTTGTTTGAACCAGTCCGATGTTGTTTAGGAGTACCTGGCAAGCTTTGTTCAGCTAAATAAACACACACAGAAAGAAATTAAAAATTGCATTTAAACTTAACTCTGGATGAGAACTATAATTATGCTACCGGTACTTTTAATTTTAAACATCTATCATCAAATTCAAACTAAAGCTAAGAGAAGGCAGAGGCACAGAACATACTAAAAGCTTAATAGTTAAACAAAGGTATTGCAGATTTTTCAATAATTAATTAACACAAAAAGATCACACATGTTCCACGCATTAAAAAAAACTTTTTCATCTACTCATCAACTTTATACAATAATAAAAATATAGTGAACTACAAAAAATGATGTCATCATTAGCTACTCGTGTTTGATTTTTTAAAACAGTAACTCGATAAATATGCATTTCAATAAACACTAACAATTAAGTTTAGAAAGTCGAAGTCTTAAACCAGTGTCTTGGCTGCTCACCTTTCAAAGACATCTGACCAGACTTCTTAGGTGTGCGGAACTTGAAAACATCCTCAAAAGGTGTGTTGTTCTTGTCATCTTGGCTCACTGTTAGTACAGGAGAAAAAAAAAATAAATTGAAATGTTTCGAACATGACTGGTTACTGGTTAACTTTTGATAATAAAATCATCAAAAAACAGCCTGGATAATAATAATTTCCAGGAACGTAAATGGAAATAATTTGACATGTTTCGTATATGTCAGGCACAACTTTGTTTTCTGCATCTTGGTGGCCTCTCTGGAAACCTGTTAGCATCCATCAGCTCTCTAGCTGCATCCATTTAACTATCCTAACATCCAAGAAACTCAAAGCACAAGTTAATTTTATGAATACAAAAATCCCCAGCTCAGCAACATCAATATAATGTTCTTTTGTAAGAATGCCATCAAGTTAACAAAAATTCATTTAAAACTTTTCAAAAATCTATTTTGAAAGCTAAAAAAGCAGAAGTTAATTTTTGCAATCCATACCTGGTGGCAGCGCTGCCATTCCACTTGAATCATCCTCACTTTCATCTGATTGGTAATGTGATTTCTTTTTGGGAGAAACATTGGCTGAATAAATGAGATCATCTATGGGAGCACCGCCTAAAAATAAGAAATGAATAAATTAATCCTAAAGTTTTCATAGGCTCGTACATAACAATGGTAGGGTCAAAGTACAGGGAGATTACTCAAAGACGTTCACAATTAATCAGGGTCTTAGAAAAGGAGATTCACTATCATGTATCCAGTTCAACATGTCATTTGAAGGAGAGGTCATTAGAAGCATTCATGAAAGCACCAGTGGAAAGATTACCAAGTACATTAGAAGCTTCCATGAAAGCACCAGTGGAGTTATTATCAACTACATTAGAAGCATTCATGAAAGCACCAGTGGATAGATTACCAAGTACATTAGAAGCATTCGTGAAAACACCAGTGGATAGATTACCAAGTACATTAGAAGCATTCATGAAAGCACCAGTGGAAAGATTACCAAGTACATTAGAAGCTTCCATGAAAGCACCAGTGGAGTTATTATCAACTACATTAGAAGCATTCATGAAAGCACCAGTGGATAGATTACCAAGTACATTAGAAGCATTCATGAAAGCACCAGTGGATATATTACCAACTACTTCCAGAGAGGTATTACAGAACAACAAACCATCAAGAACATTATACAGCCAACCGTTGCAGTACCCGGCATACACAGATGACATATCGCTGCTGGGCAGAAACAGCAATGATATAATTAAAGCATTCAAGGGACTTGAAGATTTCTCGGTCAAAGCTGGTCTTGAGGTAAATGAAGCAAAGACAAAGTATTTTATAATCCCACAAAATACGCACACTGATGACAACATCAATATAAACAACAACACCTTTGAGAGAGTAGCTTCTTATATATATCTATAAATGAGCACAATGAAATAATGTCTGGGGTGAAAGAAAGGATAACAGCAGGCAACCATTCTTATTTCAGCTTTCAAAAGCTACTAGGAAGCACAAACCTCTCAAGGGAAACAAAGAAGACAATATACACTAACCAGTTGTAACGAGAGACTTGGTCTCTTACCAGAAAAGCAGAGAACCTGCTCAATACAAGGGAGAGGAAAATCCTTAGGAAAATGTATGGTCAGGTAAGAGACAATGATGGCTGCAGAATATGCACAAACCAAGAGATATATCAATTGTACAAAGACCCACCCATAGTTGCAACAATAAAAAAGGCAGACTGTGCTGGACAGGACATATTGAAAGGATGCTGGATTGTAGAGCAGCCAAAGTGATCTACAGGCAGAAACCTAGGGGCAGACGGCTGACTGTTCGACCAAGACAGATTGATGGTGTAGAGAAGGACACACTAGTTTGGGGTCTGAGCATGCATGGATCGATCCCAATGGAAGGATGTAGTGGAGCAGGCCAGGGCCTTACATGGGCTTAATGCCACTGATGATGATGGTAGGGTTTCATAAATCTTTGTTACTCCTTACTCTGACTGAAGATTAGTCTGGATAATAACCACTTTAATTTTTAAAAACCTATTTCTATTGCTAAAGTAAGGAATCTGGACAGGCAACAATCATTCTAAAACTAAACATAAAAGTGAGAAGTTCTATCCTTAAAACTTAGCCTATATATCTATGTATAATATGTACGAGAGAGTTAAAAGTGTTTGTCCTATTCACATACCACAATATATATATATATATATATGCCATATATATATATCTTTATTTCAGCGTGTGAAGACTGGCAAATTATATTACTTTGTAAGATAGAATGTGAAGTAACTTTTGTTTCATTTAACTGAATGTAGTAGCTGTATGTAAATGATTTATTGCATTTAAAATGTTCATGTAGTATTTCATGGAGAGCAGTAGTTAGTAATTTACACAATTGAACTTTTTAAAAATTAAAATTACAGAGGAAATAAGATTTTTAAGAAAATGTGCTTTAGTAATAAAATTTACAATTTTAAATGCAAATTTCGTCATCTCAGAAAGGTGTCACCTCATCTACAAAATTTAGA